TTAATCACCCTCTTATGTTCTCTGCTCTCTACATATATAGTTATATATTTTAATCAACTTGCTTAGCAGGCTCAGTACCAGACGTCGCATTGCTCAGTATGTAGTCACGAGACACCCGGTAGTGAGTGTTAAGTAATATTGACTGGCAAGTCTTCAGTTTCAAATATACTTAAGTAAAATGCTATCAAAATATTTAACCATCTCTAAATTCCCAATTAAAATTATATCCCCTAAAAAGGTCAAAACTGATTTCTTATTTGGAAACATAATAAAGGCCAATTGCAAAAAACTACATTACAAATATTGTTTTAACCATATAATACTGTAACTGAAATTCTGCTGAATTTAAGGGGAAAATTACGATGTACGTCATAAATAGATGTGGTTATTATGATGATCTACCGTGCTACCAGCATTTAGTTGCCATTGAGACCATGAGCTACAAATCATTAGCCGTATAAAAGAAACTTTCATGATTCAGTATTCTAATTCAGTTGAAAATCACGGATGAACATAGTCTCTGTATATCAGGGTTATTAAAACTCCGACAAAAGTGTTTTTTTTTCCTATCTGATGGCAAAGCTGCCTGATTCCCTTTGAACAACATTGACCCTCTTCAGTGTGTATACGTGTTGCGATACAAAGAACCTACCCGGGACGTTATGACATTAAAAAGCAGCACACGGATGGTTTTTTACCTATAGTTTCACAGGAAAACAAGAAGAGAGTAAATTTCCTTGATTTACTCCACGGTTTAATCACAGAGCCACCTTCACTAGAAAATGTCTTTTGATGCCTTGAGGAGAGTGATGAAATTCATTTTTACCAATTTTTTCCATGCGGAAAAAGTTCCTATGAATCTTTTGCAATAGCTTAGTGACAAAACATTATGCCCACTATCATATTAACAGGTCATATATCAATATCTATATATATATATATATATATATATATATATTAATAATAAGTAATATATATATATCACTATTTTCAATATACATGCATCTTAATTTTATTTTACAGAAATACTAGCTGCAAAACCTGGCGTTGTCCAGGTCAAAATAAAGTTCACAAAAAAGGTTATAAATTTTTATTTTTATTTTTTTTTATATATATATAAAAATTTTTGGTATATATATATATATATATATATATACCAAAAATTGTAGTGTTGAGTTGAGTTAGAAGAGATGAAGCTATAATTGTTTTACTTATTACTTAATTTTCTTATAATCATAACAGATGAAGGAGTATCGTCCATTGACTTTGGTCCTTAGAGATTGATAATTATCTCTCTACAAGTTCTGTGTAAGTCTTATTAACAGTATTATATTTTCCATTAAAGTAGACACTAAACATTTCCTTTAGTACCAAGCCCAATATTCATAACACCACTAAATATTGAGTTTCATTGTCTCAAATCATACTCTTACTTATTTTTTGTATAGTATACAATGTGATTATTACAATATATCAGTTTTATACCTGGGGTCAACTTTTATCATAATAGTTATAACCGTACTTATTTCATCTAAAATAGAGAAAATTATCCTCTACAGTTAACTAGGCAGTTTTATATTTACTTAAAGGACAATTATATTTTCTTAGAAACGCATTATTCCTTTCTGTGGTACTACAACACAAGAAATATACTCCCACGGTGTTACCCGGTGACAAATGGTTGTAACAAATGGGCCGATACTTTCCCTAAACATCACAAGCTGCTTCTAACTGCTGTGTAAATATACATTCGGCAGTATAGTTTTTGCTTATAATTAAAACAGCAAAATATTATATATTTTTTTTATTTTTAAATTTTTTTTATTTTTTTTTTTAACTTATGGTTAAGGATAGTTAAAGTTATATATTTTACATTTTATTATGCTGATATTTAAGCATACAGTACCAGGCGTGTTTCTGTAGCAATATAAAGTCTTATAGTTGAAAGCAATGCGGTATTTTCTTACCAACAAGGCGAACTCCAGCTTACCAAACTTTTATGTAGCAATTAAAACAAAACATGGATCCAAGTACAGGAAAAGAACAAACAGTACAGACAAAGTTGATGAAACTGTTCAAAACCACAGACAAAGCCCACGAGTAACCATCGATGTATAATAACTCTACATCGAGTTATTAGATCGAGTTATTAGAGGGAGTTATTAGACATCGATGCGAGTGACGTGGTTGTATAAATTTGTAAATTCTGTATCATAGTTTTGAGCATCTAGTAACCTCGTGTAACGATTACATAATTACATTAAAAATAACCTGGCAATTCACCTGAGCAACTTCATAAAGCAGAGATTAGTTGTAAATAACTCTCCCATTAAGTTTCCAAACCAATAGAACTTGTTATACAAAGGCAACAAGACCTTAACATTTCAAGTCACACTACTGGTCTTAACCTTTTATTTTCAAATACGCTCTGGAACCAAATAAAGTTGAGTTTATAAACCGAATATTACCGGCAAGCCTATATCGAAGTTTTGATTGTTTCTTAATGTAATTTCAGTTCTGTGATGGTTCTAGATTAAGCCACAAACTGTATTGAACTGCCAAACCGGAACCAGCAATGACCATTGCAATCCACAGGTGTGGGTTAGGGGTTTGCACCTGTATATGAAGGCTTGCAAAACTGCTATAGTTTACCTGTCTCTCAATAATTACAAAACTTGTTTTAGATTCTAATTTAAATATTTCTGTGTATTTGGTATTTCACTAGCTTATATCATTGACTATTGGATACAGAAGCTAATATGTAATGTCACAGAACACGTATGCCATAAGGGTTTAGTTTTTATGTACTACATTATTTATGAAATTCACTATTTTCAATATACATGCATCTTAATTTTATTTTACAGAAATACTAGCTGCAAAACCTGGCGTTGTCCAGGTCAAAATAAAGTTCACAAAAAAGGTTATAAATTTTTATTTTTATTTTTTTTTATAATACTGTATCTAGAACGTAGCTGATTCAAACAATCAATACCTCAGATGAAAAAACTTTATTTCTAGGCGTATTTTAAAACCAAGATATAAAAAAATTACTAAAATGAAAATGGTGTTACATATCATTGATTGCAGAAAATTCTTTAAGTAATTATAATTATTGATAAATTGAGATTTAACGACGTGCATCAGGTACGTCCGATCTTAATAACCAATAACTCAAATTTTTTAATTCAAGAATAAAATTATGAAAATCGGTAGGGCAGAAGAGCCGAACCTATTAGGAAAAGAAATCCCATTTATTATAAATTTCAGTTTGACAAACTAATGTATCACTTTAAGAAACTAGTTTCATTAAAACTCGGTTATTTTTCGTCCACCTTATTATTAGCACAAAAAGGTGAACGTATGACGATACAAACATACACAAAAAGATCAAATCTTTGGTAACAGTAAATATATACACTAGTATGTTTCCAAATACTGCATAAATTATTAGCCTAGCAAATTTTATAATGAACAAAAACTATTATCATCGCTATAGCATACCGACTATTATACAGATTGAATCATCATGTGTGTAGTGTTTTATTAAAAGATAATAATAACTTAATATTGAAATATTGTTCAAAAAGGATGATATACTTTTCTTATTTATTTTATATTTTATTCATAACACAAATTAAGACCTTAGTTTGATAAAATGATAGACTCCTGAAGGGAAGATGTCTCTCGGCAAACCTCACGAGCGTGAAATATGAATAAACAAGTTGGTATTTCATTTGAATTATAATTGAGAGGATGTAGTTTAATATCTGTCAGAGTAAGGACAAGAGATTCATACTTTGATCACGTAATAAGTTCCTGACGCTTAGGCGTTATAACTATATAAACCTCAGGTGCGAGAAAAGGTAATAAAATCACTGTATTATTGCATCCATGTCTCGCCTGTATTGTATTGTATCATGTATTGACGCCTGAAGATAGCTTCGTAGAAAGTCGAAACTAATTGCGACATCATCAGTACAACGAAGAATGTATCTACAACAATTTAATATTGTGTAATTCGAAGGCTAACATCACAAATTAAAAAATAATGTTAACGCAATGTTGATAAGAGTTATTTGTTCACGACCGAGTGAGGGATACATTGGTAATAAACTAGATGCAGACATGTTCACATGACCATAAAACATGTGGAGGTAGAAGAAGCCATAGCCCTCCCACTCCAGCGAACCGCAAGCAATATAGCTGAAAGTAATGTAAACGTTGAGTTACTCAAGTCAAATTAGTGCATCAATGTTTTTCGAGATACGTTCAGTGTTGGTAGTTTTTGTGTGATTTGGCCTTTTGTCATATTTTAGACATGTACATAAATAACTTCTTGATCAGCATTGTACGTGTCATTAAATTTATGGAAAGTAAATAAAGATACGTCTTATAACACTTAAAACATATATATTACGCTTATACTGTTACTCACAAGACGGCAAATATACAAAAGATGGTAAGTGGTGATCGATTTCGATCGGACACTCCAAACATCATAGACCCAATCCAGAGGAAGGGGGTATCCAGAGGACAAGTATCCATAGGAAGTAGGTATCCAGAGGAGAAGTATCGAGATGGAAGGGGTATCCAGAGGACAAGTATCCAGAGGGAAGGGGTATCCATAGGACAAGTATCCATGGGGAAGGTATCCAGATGAGAAGTATCCATAGGATATAGGTATTCAGTGGAAGGGAGTATCCAGAGAATATATAAGAAGTTTCCATAGGAAATAGATATCCAGAGGACAAGTATACAAAGGAGAGTTACAAGTATCCAGAGGAGAGGTATCCAGAGGACACGTATCCAAAGGAAGAGAAGTATCCAGAGGAAGAGGGTATCCAGAGGAATGGGGTATCCAGAGGACAAGTAACCAAAGGAAAGGGGTATCCAGAGGAAGGGGGTATCCAGAGGACAAGTAACCAAAGGAAAGGGGTATCCAGATGAAGGGGGTATCCAGAGGACAAGTATTCATAGGAAATAGGTATCAAGAGGAAATGGGTATCCAGAAGGAGGGGTATCCAGAGAAAGGGGTATCCAGAGAACAAGTATCCAGAGGGAAGAGGTATTCAGAGGACAAGTATCCAGAAGATAGATATGGTAAGTATCCAGAGGAGACGTATCCAGAGGAACGGGTATCCAGAGGATAAGAAGTATCCAGAGGATAAGAAGTATCCAGAGGAAAAGTATCCAAAGGAATTGAGTATCCAGATGGCAGGTATCCAGAGGACAAGTATCCATAGGAAATAGGTATCCAGAGGAAATGGGTATCCAGAAGGAGGGGTATCCAGAGAAAGGGGTATCCAGAAGAGAGATATCCAGTGGAGAAGTATCCAGAGGAAAGGGGTATCCAGAGAACAAGTATCCAGAGGGAAGGGGTATCCAGAGGACAAGTATCCAGAGAGATGGGGTATTCAGAGGACAAGTATCCAGAAGATAGATATGGTAAGTATCCAGAGGAGACGTATCCAGAGAGGACGGGTATCCAGAGGACAAGTATCCAGAGGATAGATAAGAAGTATCCAGAGGAAAAGTATCCAAAGGAATGGAGTATCCAGATGGCAGGTATCCAGAGGACAAGTATCCAGAGAATAGATAAGAAGTATCCAGAGGAAAAGTATCCAAAGGAATTAGATATCCAGAGGACAAGTATCCAGAGGAGAAGTTTCCAGAGGAAAGGGCTATCCAGAGGAAAGAGGTATCCAGAGGACAAGTATTCAGAAGACAAGTATCCATAGAAAATAGGTATCTAGATGATATAGGTATTTAGAGGAGAGGTATCCAGAGGAAAGGGATATTTAGATAAGAAGTATCCAAAGGAGAGGGGTATCCATAGGACAAGTATCCAGAGGAAAGGGGTATCCAGAGGACAAGTATCCAGAGAGAAGGGGTATTCAGAGGACAAGTATCCAGAAGATAGATATGGTAAGTATCCAGAGGAGAAGTATCCAGAGAACAAGTATCCAGAGGATAGATAAGAGGTACACAGAGGAGAGGTATCTAGAGAAGAAGTATCCAGAGGAGAAGTATCCAAAGGAATGGAGTATCCAGAGGAAGGACAAGTATCCATAGGAAATATGTATCCAGTGGACAAGTATCCAGAAGATAGATATGGTAAGTATCCAGAGGAGACGTATCCAGAGGGACGGGTATCCAGAGGAGAAGTATCCAGAGGAATGAAGTATCCAGAGGAATGGAGTATCCATAGGAGAAGTTTCCAGAGGAAAGGGGTATCCAGAGAACAAGTTTCCAGAGGGAAGGGGTATCCAGAGGACAAGTATCCAGGAGATAGATAATGGTAAGTAATTATCCAGAGGAGACGTATCCAGAGGAACGGATATCCAGAGGACAAGTATCCAGAGGACAAGTATCCAGAGGATAGATAAGAAGTATCCAGAGGAAAAGTATCCAAAGGATAGATAAGAAGTATCCAGAGGAAAAGTATCCAAAGGAATGGAGTATCCAGATGGCAGGTATCCAGAGGCGGAAGATGAGTTTTGATGTAAACTTGAAATATACCTCGAAATTTTTTAGTAAATTGTGATTAATTTATTTTAGTGATGAGTAACCGACAACCTAAGAAAAACAAAATGTTTTAGTATTTTTTTTTATGTTTATATGTTTGACTTTTACTCCATCATTATTTAATTTTTCTCCATTTGAACAAGCTTAAAGTTAACCAGCTAACTTTTTTCTTGTTACTTATATGATAGGCCTACATATTATATGACACATAAAATTATATATTTTACACGATGAGTTGAAAATTGTTTGCAATGTCTCCATGGAAACAAAATTGCTAAAACTGCTGCTATAAAAAACGGATGATTATTTTCCTTAACAACTAAAAATTTATTGAAAATATGCGATTTAAACACCGGTAAGAGCCATTATTTCTTTTTAGGAAAAGTACGAAGCTATTCGTTACAACCATTTGTCACTGGTACCACTGCAAGGGTTTATTACTTTTGAGTTGTGGCTGCATTGACTCACAGCCTGGGCATTTGTTTTAGCTTAGTATACCTACCAATAAAATATGTATACTAAAACAGCTAATTTGTAAAGTTTACTCCAAGGGGCTTATTAATCACCCTCTTCTGTTCTCTGCTCTCTACATATATAGTTATACATTTTAATCAACTTGCTTAGCAGGCTCAGCACCGGCCGTCACATTGCTCAGTATGTAGTCACGAGACACCCGGTAGTGAGTGTTAAGTAATACTGACAAGCAAGTATCAGTGTCAAACATACTTCTGAAAAATGCTATCAAAACATTTAACTATCTCTAAATTCCCAATTAAAATGATATCCCCTAAAAAAGTCAAAACTGTTTCCTTTTTGAAAGCATGTTAAAAGAAGCCAACTGCAGAAAACTTTTTTTTTAGATACATTTCATGAATAGCTGTGGTTATTATGATGAGCTACCGTGCTACCAGCTTTTGGTTGCCGTGGAGACCATGAGCTACAAATCATTAGCCGTATAAAAAAAACTTTCATGATTCAGTATTCTAATTATGTTGAAAAGCGCGGATGCACATAGTGTCTGTATATATCAGGGTCATTAAAACTCCGACAAAAGTGTTTTTTTTCCTATCTGATGACAAAGCTTCCCGATTCTGTCTGAACAACATTGACCCTCTTCAGTGTGTATACGTGTTGCGATATAAAGAACCTACCCAGGACGCTATGACATTAAAAATCAGCACACGGATGGTTTTTTACCTATAGGTTCACAGGAAAACAAGAAGAGAGCAAACCTCATCATTTACTCCACGGTTTAACTACAGAGCCACCTTCACTAGAAAATGTCTTTTGATGCCTTAAAGGTTGGGTGATGGAATTCATTTTTACCAATTTTTTCCATGCGGAAAAATTTCCTATGAATCTTTTGTAATAGCTAAGTGACAAAACATTATGCCCACTATCATATTAACGGGTCATATATCTATATCTATATACCAAAGATTGTAGTGTTGAGTTGAGTTAGAAGAGATAAAGCTATAATTGTTTTACTTATTACTTTATTTCCTTATAATCGTAACAGATGAATGAGTGTCGTCCATTGACTTTGGTCCTTAGAGATTGATAATTATCTCTCTACAAGTTCTGTGTAAGTCTTGTTAACAGTATTATATTTTCCATTTAAGTAGACGTTAAACATTTCCTTTAGTACCAAGCCCAATATTCATAACAACACTAAATATTGAGTTTCGTTGTCATGAATCATACTCTTACTTATTTTTTGTATAGTATACAATGTGATTATTGCAATATTTCAGTTTTATATCTGGGGTCAACATTTATCATAATAGTTATAACCGTACTTATTTCATGTTAAAATAGAGAAAATTATCCTCTACAACTAAACAGTTTGATATTTGCTTGAAGACAACTATATTTTCCTTGAAACGCATTATTCCTTTCTGTAATACTACAACACAAGAAATATACTCCCACGGTGTTACCCGGTGACAAATGGTTGTAACAAATGGGCCGATACTTTCCCTAAACATCACAAGCTGCTTCTAACTGGTGAGTAAATATAAATTCGGCAGTAGAGTTCTTGCTTATAGTGGAAATGGCAAAATAAATTATATTTTTTATTTAAAAAGTTTTTTTGTTTCTAAACTTATGGTTAATGATAGTAAAATTTACATAATTCTTTACATTTAAGTATGCTGGTATTTAAGCATACAGTACCAGGCGTGTTTCTGTAGCAATATAAAGTCTTATTGGTGAAAGCAAGGCGGTATTTTCTTACCAACAAGGCGAACTCCAGCTTACCAAACTTTTATGTAGCAATTAAAACAAAACATGGATCCAAGTACAGGAAAAGGACAAACTGTACAGACAAAGTTGATGAAACTGTTCCAAACCACAGACAAAGCCCACGAGTAACCAGCGATGTATAATAACTCTACATCAAGTTATTAGATCGAGTTATTAGAGGAAGTTATTAGACATCGATGCGAGTGACGTGGTTGTATAAATTTTTACGAATCATAGTTTTGAGCATCTAGTAACCTCGTGTAACGCTTACATAGAGTTACATTAAAAATAACCTGGCAATTCACCTGAGCAACTTCATAAAGCAGAGATTAGTTGTAAACAACTCTCCCATTAAGTTTCCAAACCAATAGAACTTGTTATACAAAGGCAACAAGACCTTAACACTTCAAGTCACACTACTGGCCTCAAAATGTATTTTCAAATACGTTCTAGAACCAAATAAAGTCGAGTTTATAAACTGAATATTACCGGCAAGCCTATATCGAAGTTTTGATTGTTTCTTAATGTAATTTCAGTTCTGTGATGGTTCTAGATTAAGCCACAAACTGTATTGAACTGCCAAACCGGAACCAGCAATGACCATTGCAATCCACAGGTGTGGGTTAGGGGTTTGCACCTGTATATGAAGGCTTGCAAAACTGCTATAGTTTACCTGTCTCTCAATAATTACAAAACTTGTTTTAGATTCTAATTTAAATATTTCTGTGTATTTGGTATTTCACTAGCTTATATCATTGACTATTGGATACAGAAGCTAATATGTAATGTCACAGAACACGTATGCCATAAGGGTTTAGTTTTTATGTACTACATTATTTATGAAATTCACTATTTTCAATATACATGCATCTTAATTTTATTTTACAGAAATACTAGCTGCAAAACCTGGCGTTGTCCAGGTCAAAATAAAGTTCACAAAAAAGGTTATAAATTTTTATTTTTATTTTTTTTTATAATACTGTATCTAGAACGTAGCTGATTCAAACAATCAATACCTCAGATGAAAAAACTTTATTTCTAGGCGTATTTTAAAACCAAGATATAAAAAAATTACTAAAATGAAAATGGTGTTACATATCATTGATTGCAGAAAATTCTTTAAGTAATTATAATTATTGATAAATTGAGATTTAACGACGTGCATCAGGTACGTCCGATCTTAATAACCAATAACTCAAATTTTTTAATTCAAGAATAAAATTATGAAAATCGGTAGGGCAGAAGAGCCGAACCTATTAGGAAAAGAAATCCCATTTATTATAAATTTCAGTTTGACAAACTAATGTATCACTTTAAGAAACTAGTTTCATTAAAACTCGGTTATTTTTCGTCCACCTTATTATTAGCACAAAAAGGTGAACGTATGACGATACAAACATACACAAAAAGATCAAATCTTTGGTAACAGTAAATATATACACTAGTATGTTTCCAAATACTGCATAAATTATTAGCCTAGCAAATTTTATAATGAACAAAAACTATTATCATCGCTATAGCATACCGACTATTATACAGATTGAATCATCATGTGTGTAGTGTTTTATTAAAAGATAATAATAACTTAATATTGAAATATTGTTCAAAAAGGATGATATACTTTTCTTATTTATTTTATATTTTATTCATAACACAAATTAAGACCTTAGTTTGATAAAATGATAGACTCCTGAAGGGAAGATGTCTCTCGGCAAACCTCACGAGCGTGAAATATGAATAAACAAGTTGGTATTTCATTTGAATTATAATTGAGAGGATGTAGTTTAATATCTGTCAGAGTAAGGACAAGAGATTCATACTTTGATCACGTAATAAGTTCCTGACGCTTAGGCGTTATAACTATATAAACCTCAGGTGCGAGAAAAGGTAATAAAATCACTGTATTATTGCATCCATGTCTCGCCTGTATTGTATTGTATCATGTATTGACGCCTGAAGATAGCTTCGTAGAAAGTCGAAACTAATTGCGACATCATCAGTACAACGAAGAATGTATCTACAACAATTTAATATTGTGTAATTCGAAGGCTAACATCACAAATTAAAAAATAATGTTAACGCAATGTTGATAAGAGTTATTTGTTCACGACCGAGTGAGGGATACATTGGTAATAAACTAGATGCAGACATGTTCACATGACCATAAAACATGTGGAGGTAGAAGAAGCCATAGCCCTCCCACTCCAGCGAACCGCAAGCAATATAGCTGAAAGTAATGTAAACGTTGAGTTACTCAAGTCAAATTAGTGCATCAATGTTTTTCGAGATACGTTCAGTGTTGGTAGTTTTTGTGTGATTTGGCCTTTTGTCATATTTTAGACATGTACATAAATAACTTCTTGATCAGCATTGTACGTGTCATTAAATTTATGGAAAGTAAATAAAGATACGTCTTATAACACTTAAAACATATATATTACGCTTATACTGTTACTCACAAGACGGCAAATATACAAAAGATGGTAAGTGGTGATCGATTTCGATCGGACACTCCAAACATCATAGACCCAATCCAGAGGAAGGGGGTATCCAGAGGACAAGTATCCATAGGAAGTAGGTATCCAGAGGAGAAGTATCGAGATGGAAGGGGTATCCAGAGGACAAGTATCCAGAGGGAAGGGGTATCCATAGGACAAGTATCCATGGGGAAGGTATCCAGATGAGAAGTATCCATAGGATATAGGTATTCAGTGGAAGGGAGTATCCAGAGAATATATAAGAAGTTTCCATAGGAAATAGATATCCAGAGGACAAGTATACAAAGGAGAGTTACAAGTATCCAGAGGAGAGGTATCCAGAGGACACGTATCCAAAGGAAGAGAAGTATCCAGAGGAAGAGGGTATCCAGAGGAATGGGGTATCCAGAGGACAAGTAACCAAAGGAAAGGGGTATCCAGAGGAAGGGGGTATCCAGAGGACAAGTAACCAAAGGAAAGGGGTATCCAGATGAAGGGGGTATCCAGAGGACAAGTATTCATAGGAAATAGGTATCAAGAGGAAATGGGTATCCAGAAGGAGGGGTATCCAGAGAAAGGGGTATCCAGAAGAGAGGTATCCAGTGGAGAAGTATCCAGAGGAAAGGGATATCCAGAGAACAAGTATCCAGAGGGAAGAGGTATTCAGAGGACAAGTATCCAGAAGATAGATATGGTAAGTATCCAGAGGAGACGTATCCAGAGGAACGGGTATCCAGAGGATAAGAAGTATCCAGAGGAAAAGTATCCAAAGGAATTGAGTATCCAGATGGCAGGTATCCAGAGGACAAGTATCCATAGGAAATAGGTATCCAGAGGAAATGGGTATCCAGAAGGAGGGGTATCCAGAGAAAGGGGTATCCAGAAGAGAGATATCCAGTGGAGAAGTATCCAGAGGAAAGGGGTATCCAGAGAACAAGTATCCAGAGGGAAGGGGTATCCAGAGGACAAGTATCCAGAGAGATGGGGTATTCAGAGGACAAGTATCCAGAAGATAGATATGGTAAGTATCCAGAGGAGACGTATCCAGAGAGGACGGGTATCCAGAGGACAAGTATCCAGAGGATAGATAAGAAGTATCCAGAGGAAAAGTATCCAAAGGAATGGAGTATCCAGATGGCAGGTATCCAGAGGACAAGTATCCAGAGGAAAGGGGTATCCAGAGGACAAGTATCCAGAGAGAAGGGGTATTCAGAGGACAAGTATCCAGAAGATAGATAAGAGGTACACAGAGGAGAGGTATCTAGAGAAGAAGTATCCAGAGGAGAAGTATCCAAAGGAATGGAGTATCCAGAGGAAGGACAAGTATCCATAGGAAATATGTATCCAGTGGACAAGTATCCAGAAGATAGATATGGTAAGTATCCAGAGGAGACGTATCCAGAGGGACGGGTATCCAGAGGAGAAGTATCCAGAGGAATGAAGTATCCAGAGGAATGGAGTATCCATAGGAGAAGTTTCCAGAGGAAAGGGGTATCCAGAGAACAAGTTTCCAGAGGGAAGGGGTATCCAGAGGACAAGTATCCAGGAGATAGATAATGGTAAGTAATTATCCAGAGGAGACGTATCCAGAGGAACGGATATCCAGAGGACAAGTATCCAGAGGACAAGTATCCAGAGGATAGATAAGAAGTATCCAGAGGAAAAGTATCCAAAGGATAGATAAGAAGTATCCAGAGGAAAAGTATCCAAAGGAATGGAGTATCCAGATGGCAGGTATCCAGAGGACAAGTATCCATAGGTATCCAGAGGAAAAGGGTATCCAGAAGGAGGGGTATCCAGAGAAAGGGGTATCCAGAAGAGAGGTATCCAGAGGACAAGTATCCAGAGGAGAAGTTTCCAGAGAAAAGGGGTATCCAGAGGGAAGAGTATCCAGAGGACAAGTATTCAGAGGATAGGTATCCAGAGGAGACGTTTCCAGAGGAAAGGGCTATCCAGAGGAAAGGGGTATCCAGAGGACAAGTATTCAGAAGACAAGTATCCATAGAAAATAGGTATCTAGATGATATAGGTATTTAGAGGAGAGGTATCCAGAGGAAAGGGATATTTAGATAAGAAGTATCCAAAGGAGAGGGGTATCCAGAGGGGAGGTATCCAGAGGAAAAGGGTATCCAGAGGACAAGTATCCAGAGGAAAGGGGTATCCAGAGGACAAGTATCCAGAGAGATGGGGTATTCAGAGGACAAGTATCCAGAAGATAGATATGGTAAGTATCCAGAGGAGAAGTATCCAGAGAACAAGTATCCAGCGGATAGATAAGAAGTACACAGAGGAGAGGTATCTAGAGAAAAAGTATCCAGAGGAGAAGTATTCAGAGGAGAAGTATCCAAAGGAATGGAGTATCCAGAGGAAGGACAAGTATCCATAGGAAATAGGTATCCAGTGGACAAGTATCCAGAAGATAGATATGGTAATTATCCAGAGGAGACGTATCCAGAGGGACGGGTATCCAGAGGATAGATAAGAAGTATCCAAAGGAATGAAGTATCCAGAGGAATGGAGTATCCAGATGGCAAGTATCCAGAGGACAAGTATCCATAGGAAATAGGTATCCAGAGGACAAGTATCTAGAGGAGAAGTTTCCAGAGGAAAGGGGTATCCAGAGGAAAGGGCTATCCAGAGGACAAGTATTCAGAAGGCAAGTATCCAGAGGGAAGAGTATCCAGAGGAGAAGTATCCAGAGGATAGGTATCTAGATGAGAAGTATCCATAGAAAATAGATATCCAGATGAAATAGGTATTTAGAGGAGAGGTATCCAGAGGAAAGGGATATTTAGGTAAGAAGTATCCAGAGGAGAGGGGTATCCAGAAGGGAGGTATCCAGAGGACAAGCACCCAGAGGGGAAGTTTCCAGAGGAAAGGGGTATCCAGAGGACAAGTATCCAGAGAGAAGGGGTATTCAAAGGACAATTATCCAGAAGATAGATATGGTAAGTATCTAGAAGAGAAGGATCCAGAGGGAAGGGTATCCAGAGGACAAGTGTCCAGAGGATAGATAAGAAGTACACAGAGGAGAGGTATCTAGAGAAGAAGTATCCAGAGGAGAAGTATCCAGAGGAGAAGTATCAAAAGGAATGGAGTATCCAGAGGAAGGACAAGTATCCATAGGAAAAAGATATCCAGTGGACAAGTATCCAGAGGAGAAGTTTCCAGAGGAAAGGGGTATCCAGAGGATGGATAAAATGTATCCAGAGGAGAGGTATCTAGAGAAGAAGTATCCAGAGGAGAGGTATCCAGAGGAAAGGTATCCATATGAGAGGTATCCAGAGGATAAGTATCCAGAAGAGAAGTATCCAGAGGAGACGTATCCAGTGTAAATGATATACATAGGATAGGTATCCAGATGAGAAGTATCCAGTGGAAGGGTATGCAGAGGATAGGGTCCAGATGAGAAGTATCCATAGGAAATAGGTATCCAGAGGAAGGGATATCCAGAGGAAGGGATATCCAGAGGAAGGGATATCCAGAGGACAAGTATTCAGGTAAGAAGTATCCATAGGAAATATGTATCCAGAGGAAATAGGTGTCCAGTTGAAGGGGGTATCCAGAGGACAAGTATCCATAGTAAATAGATATCCAGAGGAGAGGTGCCTAGAAGAGAACTATACAACGCTATATCCAGATAAGAAGTATCCAGTGGAGAGCGCCCTTATATTCTTCGAACCGCAACATTTCTATATCTTTATATCCATTATATCCATAGTCCTTCAAACTATTTCTCTCTTTTCTCTTCATTTCATTATCTTGCCCCAATAACTAATTTTTTTTGTAGTACTTAATAACTTCATCTTATATTTGAATAATTAACACTTTATTTCTAATTATGTCTTATGAAAGTTGTAGGTAACTTTAAATTTTTATGAATCCCAGTATGGATGTTACTGATATGCCCTTTTATTGACCAACGTTGTAATTTTAAACAAAAATTTCTTAATTATCTAAGTCTGACCCAACTAATCTTACACTTATTTTTGACGAAACGACCCACCACGTAGAAATCAAATCAAGTTTTTTTTTATTCTTCAGTTTTCATAACAAATCAGAGCTGAAATTAAATTGTTAGGGTCAGATTTCAAGAGAATGACAATTTGTCTTCTTCAAAAATATATTTTTCGTTTGAGAATATATGTGGATTTAATATTGATAATAAATGGTAGAGCTAGATAGCCTGTTCCTTACATCTGTGATGTTGTTTATAGGTGGGTCCGAAAGGGACTGAATATCTTTCACATATATTACCGAAATATAAGAAACTAAAATAAGTTTTCACATTGGTTATAATGTTCGTACTTTCGGGATTATTTTGACTTACCACTTACAATTTTCAAAAGTAAATATGTGGAATTAGGTTTTCGACTATTAACACTATTTTTTGCATTAAGGTGTACAAAATAAAATATTGCATTTTAAAATCCGGTCATATTCATGCTGACTACTACCAGAGCATATTGATCGAAATAGTTGTTATTAGGCCCTAATATGTACCTTTTTCATGTTTTACCACACGGGAAGAGCTCGTAGAATATTCATATACTCTTATATTGTCTAAGACTATTCATCTTTTAATAGTAGTGTTGAATGGGTAACAATTTAAAGTACAGATTTAAACTGTGTACTACTTTTATTGGAACTCACGTTTAGCTGTGAACATACAGCGGGGCCTCAAAATAGATCCATTTTATTTTAATGTCAGCCTATAGTAAATGTACGACCGTTCCCGGTGACGAAGGTTGGTATAGAACCATAAATGGCGTCATCAATATAAGGGGTTCTTTCTCGACATTATGTGATTAAGAACGTCTGATATCCACGAATGTACCACTGGTCGGAGACTTCTTAGAAGATCTGAGTCCACTTAAAATTAATAAAAACACATTTGTTTTATGACCATAATTTTACTGTTTAATTAAAAAGTGGAGGTTGGCTTTTCCTCAGGATAGGGATCAAGAAGCAATATAAAACTGTATCTAATTCAGAACAGGTACTGTACGGACTAAGTTAGATTTTCTTTAAATCTGTAGACAAAAACATGACTTGCAATGGAAAATTCTGGCAGTTTCAATCAAAAAATTAACCTTGCTTTCAACCGATTGAACGCTAACAAATTGGACATTTGTAAATTAAATACTTCAACAATAAAACAACAACTTTGAAAAAGACTTCTAGTAACAGACGTGTTTGTTAAGTAAAAGACTTGAGCCTGGTTGGAAGTGAATTGAGGGCTGATTACCACTCAAGTTATTAGTAGCTATATCTACATACTTTCCATTGCAAAAGTCTATCCTTATGGTAAAGCCTTTCCTCCGTAGTCAATGAAACCTCTAACCTAGTTAGAAAGTTATATCGAAGATTACTAATATTTTACTAATATATTCCATTTTGAAATTCTTTATAGCTTAGGTATTTGTCTAACACCACCAAACTCTTAACAAACATTTAGACCAATTTTAATTTGGATTTTTATAAACTTTTTCTTGATAAACTAACATTACTCCTTTTTGCCACATAGAAAGTTATAAAAATTAATAAAACAATGATTAACAACCAGCCAACCTTTATAACCTTCTAAAGATAGGATGTATTTTCTGGAAAATTAATGTGTAGAATTATATAATTGAAGATTAAATAGATGATTCAAAGCCTTGTATACTCATTCATTGCAACGAATACAATATATTGAATCTGTTAAATGTGTGTGATAGTTGTTTATTATTGTAGCTGAGCTATTTTGGTTTGTATTTGAGCATAGCTAAGCCAACTACATACAAACTAACAAACTACAGTTATCTATTAATGCCATGAGTGCTTCGGGGAAAACACGCTATGCTCCTATTCAGTGCACTTTAGTGCAGAGCTGCATCAAGTGGGTACAAATAACTTTTCACATGTTGGTTTTGTATTGTATAATAATTTAATCCGTTCTTTGGTGAGGGCAAATTTAATTAAACTATAATTGTAGTTTTAATAAGGACAGGATGTTTTAACCAACACAAGTTACAGGTACAGAGTAATTTTATTATTATGCTTGGCATTTTGCGCGATTGTTAAGGGACAAAACAAGCTCATAAGTTGGCGTCCTTGCTTCCTTTACTCCATAACAGTCAGCTGATATGCATTACTGCATTGTAGTCAACACGGTTTGGTGTTATTGGAAATTGGGACAGTAAACATCTTATATCCAGATCTGTAGAGTAATTTAATATGTTTTATCTATAAATATGTTTGCTTTAACGGTTCTTTAAATGCTTTTTTGACATCCAAAAAGTATACAATTGCATTATTACCTGAATAAAAGAAGTTCCCCAAACAAGTTGCAAGAAAATTTCATAATTTTTTGCTTTTGGAAGTTTTAACTATGTAAGTTAAAGATTTACATTGAAATAAGAGTATATTCGTAGTTCCGTTATTGAGGTGTAGCGAGAATGGAAAAACACAAAAAAATCTATAATAATCCTAATACATGTCATCCTAGGACATGATATTGCTTTTAATAAAAAGTATTACTGTACATTACTATTTTATTACTATTACTATTTACATGTATTGTATTATAAAATATTGCAACAAATATAAGGACCCGTCTGTCTGATAAAAAAAACTAAAAGTAAAACATTCCATAAAATCTTACACCTTAATAATGAATTAAATGATTTTTTGTGGAAAATGTTGAATAATTATTTTAAGTATGTCTATTATTGCTTTGTGGAGAATACTGTAAACATATAGTTTATTACAGTTCCCAGTATTTAATATTAATTCTTACAAATTTCATATAAGTATTTCATAATTATTTGTTCATGGTTAGCAATAAACGACGATTATTGACTCTAGTGTTATTACTAAAGTTGAATAGTTTATTATACCATTTGTATCGTTATTTCCATACAACCACAATAAACACTGTATAAGCCAGTGATGTTTACGCATGATAATCCGAGGGTTACTTCATAATATAAGCTTTTTACCGTTGTGTATTGCATTTCCACCCCATAACTCCTCGTTCGCATTAAACCCAGTATTTATGGTTCGCAAACAAAATCAAGTTAATCCAGCTCTGAACATTCCCCTCAAATTTTAAGTCACCAAAATGACTCGATTTATTGTGTTTTTGGACATATATATATACTAGTTTGATCAAATAGTGTTTTTGGCCTCTAGGGATATCAAAAAGAAAAAGTAAATCGGTCCAGGATCTAGGTATTTCCTTGGAAACTACGTTAATCACCCTCCTCAAATGAATATTCGCTAAAAATTTAATTAACAGCACAACCACACAAATATAATCAACAGAAGCCGAAAAAATAACACAAATTATCTTAATATACTTTAAACTATTAAGTAAGACAAAACAATCGGATACAAGACAAC